ATGGGCCAACATGTTGGAATTGATATTGATGCTCTAAAGACACTTATTGAGTCTAACCCAAGGCAACACACTCGTGAAATGGCCCTGAAATTGCATGTCTTTTATGAAACCGTACGTAAACATCTAAGGAATATGGGAAAACTCCATAAAGAAGGTGTTTGGGTGCCTCATGAACATTCCGATGATCATCGTTTCCAACGTGTGAACGCTGCTTCGTCTCTTCTGGCGCGTAAACCATTTTTGTACAGAATTTTAACCGGTGATGAAAAATGGATTCTCTATGCGAATATTAAACGCCAAAAACAATGGCTCAGTCCTAGACAAAAACCACTTCCGACCCAAAAACCTGGACTCCGTCTGTAGAAAGTGATTCTTTGCATTTGGTGGGACATCGAAGAAGTAATTAATTTAGAACTCTACAATCCACAGTGAACTGTCAATGTAGAGATCGAAAGTCAGCAACTGGAACATTTAAGCCAAGCCCTTCATTAGAAACGACCTTCACTCGTCAATCGGAAAGGTGTTCTTCTTCTCCACGACAATGCATGTCCACATGTGGCACGTTTGACGAACACAAGATTATGGAGTTGGGTTGGGAAGTTCTCCCCCCACCCACCATATTCTCCAGATATGGCACCATCAGATTACCATCTTTTTCGTTTGATGCAACACCATCTTAATGGGAAAAGGTATGCTAATATGGAAGGTGTTAAAGAGAACATTGACATGTTTTTTGCTTCAAAGCCAAGTGATTTCTTTAATCAGGTCATTAACAACTTGATTGTAAAATGGAAAAGTATCATCAATAAGAATGGAGACTATTTCATTTAATAAATGTTTTGTTTTGATATATAAGTTGCCCGGGTTTTTTCATCTAAAAAAAAAACAAAATTAATTTCTTGATGACCTAATATTATAATCATCTGTTTGGTGAACAAATTAATCACAAAAAAAAGATATTTCATTTTGATCCATTTGAACCTTGAGTACAAAACTGTTAGGCTTAACAAAGGATAATTCAGAATCTTTTAAGGGGATTCCAAATGAATAGATATAGGGGGAGTCTAAAGGAGGCCTGTCCTCCTCTGATATTTCCATTGATTTTTGCTGGTCACACAATCTTTCTACCACTTGTGTCTCTACTTTTACTTTTGTTTGTATTTATTTTTTTACTATTTTTTTCAACCTTGGTTTTTGTGTTGGAAAAGGGAATGAAACCAAACACCTTGCTTCCCTCAGTCCCCCTCTGTTTTACAATGTGACCAAGTCGGGCAGTGTAAAAACCTAACTGAAAAATAAAGTTGTTTCTATAAACTTAGTGTCCTTTTGATCTTTATGTAAAGCTACAACTATCAACAGTATAATGATTTTGTATGTGTTTAGCTTACCCACAATATAGTGTTTTAAAATATATTTTCCATTGTGTTTTTGTGGCTGCTTGAAAAGTGTTTCATAATACTTACAACTACAGACTTATCTGTGGAAATAAACTCAACCTACCTAACAACTAACAGAGAAGGACTTCATCCTTCAATCTTCCACCTACCAAACACAGAAGGACTTCATCCTTCAATCTTCCACCTATCTAACAGAGAAGGACTTCATCCTTCAGTCTTCCACCCACCTAACAGAGAAGGACTTCAAACTTCCACCCTACCTAACAGAGAAGGACTTCATCCTTCAATCTTCCACCTACCTAACAGAGAAGGACCTCATCCTTCAA